CAGATAGCCTAAAAAATAAACATAACTATGTGAGTGCAACAGCAATTGACTACCTTGTCACAAATATTTCAAAAGAAAACTTCTTTAGCCAACTTTATTAGCCAAACATCTTGCCCATATTTTGTCATGCAATCTTACCAACTATTTAGCGAATGATTCTCCGGCTACAACTACCTACTTCAAAAAAAAAATTACAGATGAGAACTTACAAGAACTTAGGACACGACTAAGTAATATTGATTGGACTTGTGTAAGTGGAGTTACTACAAATAATGCATTCGCGGCCTTTATGAAGGAATTGACTTGGTGTCTTGACGTGTCATGTCCTAAAAATAGAATTAATGTAAAACAAAACAGAAAGTAAAAAAAGTTGGGTGACGAGAGAAGTTGAGAATGAAAGCAGTCAGTTGAGAGAATTGCACAAAAGAATGATAGATAGAGAAGCGACTGACGAGATTTACAGAAGGGAAAAAAGAGAATATACAAATAGATTAAAGAAGTTAAAAACAGGATATTACGCAAATCAAATAGAAACAGCTGAAAACAAACAGAAAGCTACAAGGGATATTGTTAATTGTTTCAAAGGGAAAACCAAAATTGATGATAAAAAAGTGCTAAAACCTGAACTAGTTTCAACAATTACCGAACCATAAAATAAAAAATCGAGCCTAGACGATATAACAACAAAAGTTCTAAAATATGTCATTCCATCTATATCTGAAATTCTATTGAATCTTATTAATCACTATATAATGAAAGGCGTATTTCCGAGCGTCTTCAAAACAACCAAAGTTATTCATAAAAAGGGTTCACATGAAGATATAGATAACTATCGCCAAATATCATTACTGAGTATTCCATCTAAACTTATTGAAAAAATAGTAGCAAATAGAATAATTGCGTTTCACGAAAAATACAAGACTCTAACCGATCATCAACATGGTTTTAGAAAAGCTAGATCAGTTGAGACTCCTATTGCTAGAAAATTCGAGTTTATTTACAATGAAATCGATAAGGGGAAGTACGTAGTTTCAATATTATTTGACTTGGCTAAGGCGTTTGATTCAGTAAATAGTGACATAATGGTTAGTAAGTTATATAACATTGGCATTAGAGGGTTCCTTCTGGAATGGATAAAATCTTTTATGGAAGATAGGAAAATGGTAGTGACTGTGAATAATGCAGTATCTGATATTCAAGAT